GGAGACAGGCAAGTAGACGGGGTCCTCGGGTTCGACAAGAGTAACGAGATCTTCAGAACAGCTGTTTTGAGAATGAGAGGTTGTCAGGCAAGAATGTCTTTGTTGACTTTCGGATGATCCCACATCAGAATGCGCAGGTAAACCAATACGCCTAACGCGTTCACGATGGTTATGACTCGACGACTCGAGGATACTTGAACTCTAAAAGAAAAGGGTCCGGTTATCTATATTAATAAAAATGAAAGTTCAGACAATCAAACGAGCGTCAGAAGACCTAAGGGCCCACTCATTTACAGCTTTCGCTCTAGACTGCACATAGTCTATTAAAGTAAATTGAGAAATAACAAACGTTTCGAAAATCAGGCTTATGTGGCAAATAAATGTTAATGAGTCCCTACAAATAACTCTCAGTTAGCGTCACGACTATACAAAGTCAGGAAGACAAGAAAATATTAACTCTTTGCTTAGGAAGGCTTTAAAGTAAGGCATATTTACCACGTCGGCGACGATAAAAAATATATAAGCAGACAAGATTTCAATAAAAAAAAGCCTACTGGCCAGATGACGACGACGATCCGACCGCTATTCCATCGACGTTTACTCTATTTATACCCCCCAAAAGATATGGGTACTTTCGTTCTACCTCGCGTCTTCCTGCACATCAGTCAACCAACAGTGATAACTTACCATTTATAGCATATAATTCCGTAGTCGACACGGTCTTCTTAGTAATGCGTCCGCGTACAAATTTAAGCTGAGTTATGTTTGGTGGCAAATTACCAAGTGTTGTCTAGTAATGCCCACAAATAAGCGGAAACCTGATATGAATATAAGCAAACCCGACATCTCGGTGTGAGGCCTATTCTCCAGGCGAATAACAGTGCTAAGCATGTATACTTTCGTAAATCGCACTAGAATTGTTCTTTGTCGTGAATAATCATTCCTCTACCACCTTCAGACCCAACGATACATACCCCTATAAAGGCACTTTTTGGGACCCTTTAACTCACAGAAGACGACTTTAGAGAACAAGCAGACTACTACATTCCCCAAGGTGTTCATTAGGGCAAGGCGCTGGACCAAAATTGGGCGACCACACAGGCATAGTATTCATTGAGG